AACTTACCAGGTCAATTGCGTTTAACCCCAAAGTGGCGAATGATATATTAAGTGGCAAGGTTGTTTACATCGCCAGAACGGTAGTTGTAAATAGGTTTGTGTGGAAATACCGGAAAATGTCGGACATGTATGCCATTAGTGAACAAAAATATTTTCCCGGAATGAAGTATTTTATTGTACGGAAGGGTCATAAATATTATCGACAAATGTGTTTCATGTAAGTTTATGTTGTATGTTTTTAAAATTAACTTGGCCAGTTTTGATATATTTTATTCTAGGTATAAACAAATGAGTGAAAATGGCTTGCCTGATCATTTAGACAAAATCAAATCAATTGTTCACGAAATACTTTATAGCAGAAAGTCGGATAATTTTGACAACTTGGTAAAGCATGAGTTTTCCACTGAGAGTGCTATTGAATTATATGACATGTTTCGTAATGTATTTGTACTTTTATTAATGGGATATTTACTGTCACTAGCTGGCTTATTTGTTGAATTTATTTAATTTTGTATTATAATGTTTACATTATATATAATTATTTACATAGAAATATGTCTATGATTATAGATTTAATAAATAAACTTAACTCATAGCGACCTAGCTCCTCCTTCTCAAGTTGAGAGACAGTCCTCCTTAGTATTGAAGTCCAATGCAATTTTTGACTCACCTTGGTAAATTTGATTTTTAATCAATCAAGACATTAAAAATTATTAATCAGCCAATACTCATTAGTATAACAAAAATTTATTGTAATATGAATCTCAATTGGCCTGCGAGTTACTCGCAGCGGGAATTATCATGCCTTAAGTATTTATTAATTATTAATGTTTATTAAGGTTTACCATAAAGATTGTTGTTGCTTACGGTATATCTGTACCAAGTTAGAAGAGATATAATTATACTTAATTATTTATCATGTAAGATTACATTTAACAAATGTTATATAAAAATAATTATTATATTTAAATCATCAATATGTGACCTAGTTTATTGTAAACAAGATAATTAATTCAGTTTTGAATAATGAATTTTCTAAAGTGACTTTTATTATGTAGGGTTTTTGTAAATATTTAGCATGATAATAAACTCAATAGTAAATTACCTATCAAATAATATTTTGATTAATTGTTGTTAGATTATAAATTCATCTTTTGAATAAAATTACTATTTGTTTTAATATATATTTAAATCCGTTAAAATTCATTTAATAAATTATAACATTTTTACTGTTCCAATTACTATTCAAGGTGTCTGTACACACGATTATTTATAGCAACAAATACAAATATTCCAATTATGTTGCTAGATCTAAATAAACAAATATTTTATGTATTATCAGTTATTCCTGTATCTAATATAAACATCAGTAATACGTATTATTGTCAACGCGATAAGCAAATTAATTTAACTAATCTTGATGAAATCGTAATATATAAACGGGTAAATATGATTTAAACGTCATTAATTAAACTTATAAATTTACAATGTCAAACAATAATCACGTTCAAGTAATTTATAACCTGGCTCATATTACCTTAGCAATTTGTATTTCAATGTTAATCATTATTATTAACTTTAGGTATCAGGAGTAGATAGGTTTAATATTGGAGACATTGTTGTTGATTTTATGGCATGTAAATTAGGATTGATTATTAGATTCACACAAAAAATGAATAAGGTAATAATTTTTCAAACATGATAAAAATAATTTCAATATTAAATTATCATATTTGAATTAGGCTATATCTCACTCAAATTTGGTTGATGATGTAATCTTGGTAAATATTCTCGAGACATATACGGGAATTCATGTGACAGATGAATATTTATTAGTTATAATTACTGGTTTGAAGTTAACAAAGGATTTATCTTATTTTGCCTTATTAAAATTATTTGATATTAAGGTACCTTTATTTATCAAATTATAACAGTATTAATATTATTTACGTGTTTAAGAAATTTAATAGTATAAAGTACACGATATTTGAAATATAATCTTATAAATATACTGCAATATAATATATTTTTAAACATTTGTTGTAATTTTTACATAGATTTGGATTTGCCTATTAATCACCAGCATAATAATTTCATACTTCATGAGATATTTATCTACGTCAAGATTCAATTCCAGTTTCAATGCAGTTATTCTGATTTATAAGACTCTCTTAAATCAGGGATCAATTGTATTGACTAACTATAAAAATAGCGTTAGCCAAAGGGGTAAAAATAATGGGGGGAAAGCAAAATTAAGGATGCGAAAATATATTCAATATTTCTGAACTAATAATTTATTGAAAAATCAAATATTTAATAATAAATAAGTTATATTTATTCAAATAATCAACAAAAACAATATTATTGTAATTATTTATTATGAATAATATTATCGATGATTGCTTTGATGTTATTTTATTTGATTTACATGGTGCGTTTAATAAGTGTATTTTGAAAATTAATTTTTAAACATTAAATACAATTTTTCAAAATTTTTCATTGTTATTTTAGTTTATTGATTGTATTTTGAAAATACAATATTTTAATATTATTGCTGCTATTTATTTGGTTATCTCATAGAAATCTATTATACAGCCCTAGTCCCATAGATTTATCATTGTCTATAAAATCAAAACATACTCCATAATAGTCATTAACATTACTCCAGTAGACTTAACATTACGATGTAAAACACATTATTCATAGCTGAATTGTGGTTAAAAATTGTTAAATGAATATTAACTTTACCTTATTGTTTGAACTTTTCAAATTTTCTGATATTATTGATATTTATCGGTCTTAACAATAATTTTATCCATAGACTTATAATTATTCAAGTCAATCCTATGCCATAGTCTTATTAATACAGATATTTCCATAAAATTAGCATTAGTCTTATAGAGTTAACATTACTCCCATATACTTAACATTACCCATAGGATAAGCATTGCTATAGATTTAGCATGGCTTATGTTAACCTTTGTCATATATTTAAGATGATATATCATGTTAAATCCCATAAAGTGGGGAGTCGGGGGGGGGCGAACAATCCTATTAACCACATTATTCATATCTGAATTGTAGTTAATTAAGTACATGTAACTAAATTTATACTTATATATTACGAAATAGAAACTTCTAATAAATTATTAGACATATAAGATTCATATAACGTTGTGTTAAGTCAAAAATTACTTGTATTTAAAGTTTTGTTTAACAGTTTAAAGATTAAAAATAAGACTAAAGCATATTTGTGTTTTAAACTATGTATATTAACCATCTGTAACAAATTCAAGGACGACCCAGGTCGGTCTGTGGCTAACGCCATATAAAAACATTAAACGTATTGAAGGATTTTGTATAAACCCATTGGCTTTAGTGATGTATATATGGTTATTAAGTACACTAATTATAACGAGTTCTTTTACCGGTGTTTTATTGAACTCATATTCTAATATAAAACACATACCAATTGTCAATACATTGGACGATATAATTGTAAATAAAAAGCTACTAGTATTAGTAAATTCGTACCGTGAGTATTTTCCCAAAACAATAAAACAATTACCGGAATTTAAAACAACAATCACTGAATTGGAAAAACGATTTTATAAATACAATACTCAACTTGGTGACCTGGGCATAAAACTTACCAAGGCAATTGCATTTAACCCAAGCGTGGCTAATGATATATTAAGTGGCAAGGTTGTTTACATCGCCAGAACTGTAGTTGTAAATAGGTTTGTATGGAAATACCGGAAAATGTCGGACATGTATGCCATTAGTGAACAAAAATATTTTTCCGGAATGAAATTTTTTATTATTCAGAAAGATCATAAATATTATCGGCAAATGTGTTTCATGTATGTTTATGTTTATACAATTATATTATTTATATGCTTAAATAGTATAAATATAATATTATTTCATTCAAGGTATAAACAAATGAGCGAGAATGGTATGCCTGATCATTTAGACAAAATCAAATCTATTGTTCACGAAATTATTTATAGTGACATGTCTGATAATTTTGACAACTTGGTAAAGCATGAATTTTCTACTGAGAACACTATTGAATTATATGACATGTTTCGTAATGTATTTGTACTTTTATTAATGGGATATTTGCTGTCATTTTTTGGATTATTTACTGAACTCATTTATATAAATTTTTATAATCATATGTATAATGTTTTAAATATGAGAGCACAAAAATTTTAATAAGTCATAATAAATGTTGGCGGTTTATTGTAAACTTGGAAAAGTGGTTTAATACATAAATTTAAACAAAAACTATAAAATGTGTAAGTGAAAATACATTTACTACATTGTCAAGAACATTTTGTCGTGAACTTGATGTTATCACTCCTGGTAATATTCCAGTCACTGAATGTGATGAATATGGTGGGCTCTCTATCCAATCAGCACACCCTTCGATCACACCATAAGCATACGATATGAGTCTAATATACTCATTACCTGTTAATTACCTTTATGTCAATTATGCCTATTTAAGACTCGCTCTCTCTATGTATTATTCGCAGTCAATTCAAAGTCCTCTTCGAAGGCAATTCACTATTTAATATTTGTAATAAAGTTATTTGTTTGTTAATTGTATACGAAGTACCCTTTATTGTCCACTACTAGTGGTTACGATAGTTGGTGACCGCTCGCGAATCTACTCACTCAACAATTTATTACAATTCTTACTGACAATTTAGCAATATTGTCTACATTATTTAGCAAACATTTACGGTAACTTGTTACTTTGCATTTTAGTTTAAATTATTTATAATTAATAACCAAGTAGATAATTTTAGAATTGACATAAATATATTTAATTATAAACATTTATAAATATTAGTAAATTATTAATTTAATATTCGTCATTTCAACAGAACAAAAAGTCCATATAGTGTTTTTAAAACAATTTAAAAATATATTTTACTAATTTTAAATTATTTAGTCAAATTTAGACCATTATCATAAATTAACATTGATTATTTAGCTCTATTGCCCATAAATTCTGACACGGACAGTTTAGCAATTGACAAATCACCAAATTGCAATGACTGTTGTGGAATCTCGTGGCTTGGCACAATAATTGGGTCAATAAGGTTACCAGTTTTAAATATGTAATCAAACTGTTGCTGTAGAGTCTCCTTGCTCAGGTCAGTTCGTTCGCTGTCCAGCAACCAGTAGTGGCTGAATAAACTGCCTGATAATTTCAAAACATAAAAATAAAAATAATGTAAATATATGCACAATGTAATTGTGACAATAAACACACAAAAAAATAAAATACATGACAATACACATGTAATTAAATGTTTTGTGTGTTACAAAATAAACACATAATATCAGAGTTGTTACCAACACATATACCACCTTGTATGTTAAACACACTTACCATGACAATAGTCCATATCTTTGTTGGGCTTGAAGTAGCAAAACGCCTGTCGACTAATTTGTCCGGCTTTGGACGACGCGACGGCGTATACGTTAATATTATTTGGTAAAAAATTTGCCCACATCGAACCTGGCAAATATGGACATTATGTTGATTAAGTAATGCTGCAAAGCTGTGATCTAGTTTAAAATTATAAAGTTAAATTATAATTACCCGATTCACACGCTTCCATATAATATACTAATTTGGCAAATCTATTGTTTTTATGCATTTCTTTAAGCGCATTGTTTAATCGCTCAGCTGTTAGAGTGCTATTATTTGGCCACTCTGTATACTCTATATAAACAAGGTAATTAATTTAAATTAAGCGCTTACAATGTGACTATGTTAAGAGAGAGAGAGAGAGAGAGAGAGAGAGAG